CTTTTATTATATACTTTAACTATAAAGTTAATTTTTTTAATACCTAATTCTAGTAGGTTAAGGTGTAGCCTACTATTCTTTTCTAAGATAATTGATCTAATACGCTATATAGCAAACAGAGCGAAAAAATCAAGCAATAGCTGTTTATTAGACCATTTCCCATCCTATCTTGAACTTGGCAAAGTTTATGGAGGCCCGCAAGTGTATGCTTCCAATATACATCTTGATTTAGAAGATAGCGACGGCGTTTGGTGGACTTGCTACACCTCCTGGTACCTGTGATGGATCATTATTAGCTCTGTGTCGTGTATCATCAAATAGTATCTTTTCTTTTGCACCCTCCATCTTTCCTGCGAGTGTACTCACGTAGCCTCTAAAATTTGGAAAAAGAAGCAAGAAGATGCGGTCCAGCATACCTTGAGTGGCACACTGCTCACAAAGCATGTATTCCTTCCCAATTCTGCGCTCTTGTTACACAGTGCCTCCAAGTCCCACATTTCGCCAATCATAACCCCCCAACCACCAAGTAGCCATTGATGCAACAACCCACCACCTTGCATCTCTTCCTCCCAAGACTCGTTTGCCCATATGCCACCGGGGGCGTTATGAGGGCCTACTAGAGGTGACATTTCGAAAGAAGGGGCATCAGACGCTGTCATTCAGTTAGGAGACATTTGATACAGAGAACCTCTAGTATGAGATACGAAGACGACACGAACTAGGTTGAGTAGAGGAAAGAAAATAGATCGAGAAAGATCTTACCAACAGCTGCGAATCCACTTTCCCATATCCACTGTAAGCTCTGCTTGTCGGACTGAACACCAAGGAAAGTTGGTGGCTTGTCCTTGATCGTTTTTCTGTCTGCTTCGCTGAGCTTGTTGTAATCACGGGTAAAGCCTGTTCTTAGCAAGAGCAGGTCGCCCTCTCTTGGCTGCACGTCCACATCCTTCAACATGTCTCCCAGCACGTCTGCAGTGATGCTGTTCGCTTCCAGCGAATTCACTTGCTTTTTGCCTTTCTTCTCGAGATAGCGCGGATAGTCTAGGATGATGCCTCTGGTTGTGATGCCGCCTGAATTGGCCACACGGTCGATACCAATGACTTGCGACGATTCAATATCTTGCTGTGAGCGTCCGCCGTAGTATTTCTTCGCGCTTTGGTATCCGTAATGTCGAAAACCATCCCACTGGCTGCTTCCCTGCGTGTTGAAATCCACATGGTCGTCATTTACTGTTCGTTTTGTCCCGTCAGGATGCTCCTTGTTTTTCATGGTCCAAGAGAATGATGGCCGGTTGAAGGATGGGTGGGATGGCAGATTAAGATACCAGTCCAAAGACACACGGTCGCCGGTTTGGATTTCTTGTGCAGCGGCTTTGACAACAGAGGGAGTGATCATATTGAGGGCACCAAGTTCATCATTGGCACCGTAGAGGCCCCATGCATTTCCTGGAGGACCGCTCTTGTCAAGCGGAAGCTCGGTAAACGGAGGGCGAGGCGGTGGTGCCATTGGAGATCCTGAAAGTTGCTCTTGGCTTCTGTAATATCTAGTCTAAGTAGTACTGTTCGAAGACCCAGGTGATTCGGGTTCGGAATTTGAATAACGGAACTAGGCAGAGGACGATACTTTAGGCGTCTCAGTCCGAGGCATAGGCAAAGTGACGTATAGTGGGGTAAAGGGCGGGGTAGCTTCTGTTCCCTGTTGCTACTCGTTGCCTGAGCCGATTATTGGCGTAGTGCGGAGATAACAAATACTGATCGGAAAAGCAAGCGCCAAGCATCTCGAATTGACACTGTTTTGGCAGTCGCTGAAGAAACTCTCGCAATACGCGTGCACAAATTTGCTGCAATCTATGCGCTTTCGACATGGCTGCGATTTATCTATTCAACCCACAATATTGGCGCTCCTAAAAGTCGGGACCCATCCCTACACCGATTTCTCTTGAGCCAGTGTTCTTCAAATGGGCACCGCTACCCTTGAACAGGCTTTGCCAAATGAAGGCTTCACTCAACAACAATTCTATATCTTTTTCGGTCCATTGCCGAGTGGGTAGTGATTGCAAAAACATCATAATCTCTTGGAAATCCATCTTGCGGAGTTGATCCGACCATTTTACAAGAAAGGCGGCACAGACGTAAAGATGAAAAGACGAAAATCCGTCTTCTTCGGCCTAACACACGTCAGTCATTTGTCTGTGTTTCAGCCAACAATACATACCAGATAGGTATCCCACATCCGTATTGTGTTCTTCACGGATATTTCACGCATCAAAAGACAGTTCATCCAACGGAAGCTGAACTGAATGAACTCGACACCCTCATTTTGGAGATGCTTGGCTAGCCCATCATCGATGCGTGTGGTGAGATCTCTCAGGCTTGACACTTGCCTCTGGATGCCCGGTTGGTGGGCGATATAGTTGTCCTGTATCCCATCAAGCAGCTTAGTCAAACACCAGAATGAATCGGCTTCTACAGCGTCAAGAACCTGCTTAGGTAGCTGCCCAGGATCCATACCAGACTCGATGTCGGGGTCTGAGATGTAGGCACCCAGGAAGACCTGCCAGAATGGGGTTACCAGGTCGTTGATGCCCTGTACGTAGCCCGAGGCGGGGTGCCGTATGGCCCAGACGTATAGTATGCGTTCGAGCGACCGCTGCGTCGCTTCGTAGCTATAGAGCTCTAGGTGGGGGTTTGTCCGAGGCACGTCAATGCTGATTTGATGCCATATCGCTTCGTCCAGGCCACGCCCACGCCCTCGGTTCGTCGCAGGATAAGAAGCGCCCCCGGCCATACCAGAGGCGACAGCGCCCGCACTACCAGAAGTCCCTCGCTCGAAAGCTTGCCGCACACCCTCGAGGTATTCCTTCCGTTTGCGCTCCAGTGTCGCAACCCTCCTTTCGCTACTGGTGGGGAGGTATCCCAACAAGACCTGCCATGTCATGGCGCGTACTTCAGATGGCACACCTGACCATGCTGAGTCGCGCAAATCGGAAAGCGAGATGGTGCTGGCTTGAAGTATCCGTTTGAATTTGTTTATTCTTGTTGTTCGGGCCGAGTGCTCCTCAATTTGCTTTGCTGACGCATTCGGGTCTACGGGGGGATGTGAGATAAGATGTAGAGAATTTGCGGGGTCGCGTAGGATTTCTTGGTATTGCGGTCGCAGTATCTTTCCCTCAATCTTCTTGGCGGTTGGGTAGTTGGGTATGCCTCGCTCTTCGGCTATGTCACCACTGTCTATTGCCCGCCATGCAGTTGAGCCCTGACTTTCCCTGCGAGCGGTGCCGCCTGGGTCCTTTGGCTTTGTTGGCTGTTTGCGACGGCCCTTTCTCCGCATGTTTGCAATGCTCGGTAGGCCAAATTCGTCTTCGTCGTCTTCAAACATATTGTCGGGGTCATCTGGATCGTCGCCATGGTTCCAGTCTTGCTGTGTGTCGTTGAGAAAATGGCTATATGTTGGGCGCGAGCGGGGCGACGTTGTCTTGCTTGACCAACCTGGGGCAATGCTCGACTCGCGACTATGCGTAGCCGATGGCGGGGTGCGAGGCCGTGACGTCGACCCAGAGACGCTCCTTTGACGGTCAGTCTAAGTGACATACGTGAATGTGGTACCAACAAAACATACAGTGAGCTGAAGTTGAGTATGTCGGCATGGGAGTATGATGCGCCGATAACCTTCTTGCTTGTGGGCGAGGTAGCGGTATTGGATGTCGTGCGCCAAAAAGGTGAGGCAGAACTGCGCAATCAATGTCAATATCGGCGGTGTGGGTGCGGCTCGGGCATAGCAACGTACGAGGAGCGGTCTGTGTGTAGGGAAGCGATGTGTTAGCTACCCCGGGTATCGTGATGTATGTACGCTTGGTGGTTTGGATGGACACGAACCGACCTGCACCATTTCCTGGCGACGTGTCAGAAAATACTCGGCATTTGCGCATACACGGACGAAGAATCACAAACCTGCTGCTGCTTTTTGGAAGCCATGGTGGAATCGAATGCGTCTCTTGAAATCGTGTCGCGACAACGCCCCGCTGCGAGGCTCCGAGCTCCAAGTCGCCCGACCACGGCGCTGCCGCTCGTGCTTTCCATCCATCGCGCCTGCCACGCCAAGCTCCGCCCACACTAGTGCGACTGCCCGTTGCTTCTCATCTCCCAACCTCAGGCAGCCTTTTCTTCTCTCACCTTCACCCACCCGCCTTCTATCGCGTCAATCCCCTAATTCTGAAACTATCGCCTTACTCTTTTGCGACTGTACAATCTGTCTTTCCAACAGAGTTTTCCAGGTAGTCGAAGCTTTTGATCAGAGCATCGCGCCAGGAGCTCAAGTAAAGGACTGCCATCACCCCAGTCCTTTTCTGACTCTGCTTCTTAATCACTTCTAGCTCCGACTTCAGCCGTTGAAATGGCCGACGAGAACTACGAGGACGATATCTTTGACGATCTGTAAGACAATCGACCTGGATGCGATGCGTTCAGCTATTCTGTGACGCCATTCTGCGCAATGCTAATTACCAGCCAGTTATGACGATGAACCCACGTCACAGCAAGCCCCAGCGGCATCTGCACCTGCACCCAAGGCCGAGCCAGAGCCAGCACCTACCGAATCTGCGAGCGCACCGCCTCAGGATGCTACCCAGAATCACAACCAAAATGCTGAAGCATCATGGCCAGCCCAAGGTGCGGCGGGTGAGGACACACAAATGGGCCAATCTGGCTTCAATGCTGGAGGCGAACAGTCCTTTGATAATACACCTGCAGAAGATGACAACTATGGGCCAATAAACGTAAAAGAAGACGGGTAAGTCATGCATGCTTGATATCGAATTAATATCCCAGAGGCGCATCACAAGGTAAAGTCACACGTACGAGATACAATCTCATCTACCTACCGAACACAAACCGTTATAAGGATCAAAACTATTATCGGTCGCATGAAAATTAGTATTGGGACATCAGACAGCGACAAAGGGTACATCAATTGCTTGATTTCTCTAGGCGTTTGATTAGGAGCATGCCCTAGACGTTCTCATGCGCTCGCACTACCCAAGCGCGCCTTGGGTCGTGACTGGCCAGCCTGGTGTGTAAAGGCTTAGGATCTTGACAAGATACGAAGATTGGCAATCTGCGTCGCCCATTTGGCGAGCGTTTTGAATATGACGGGTTAGGCCATCAAGCATGGTTGTTGGAAGAAGCTGGAAGACACGGGTCAACGGCTCTGCGATACTCAGAAACAACTATCAACGCGCCTTTCGCAAGGACTCTTGTGGCTTGCCCGAACGTTGGCAGCGCCTCATGTCGATATATACCTAGGTACTTGATAGCGCGTACCAGCAACGCAAGCAGAGGATAGCTACCGAGTTGTAAGAATGTCTTTCTCAGACGTCTGCACTCGAATCCATAGCAAAACACAGACGCTTCATCCGAACCATACTGTGCCTTTGCAGGGCTACTTTTGAACCTCGAAATGTCGATCTTGAGTACGTGGTTTGCGTTGCTAGTCTGCTTGATTGGTCTACACCACAAGATTCGACATGTTGGGATTAGGATGCGGCGTTGGACATGGCTTCGCTTAAGTTCTGTATTCGGTCATCATCACAACCAACATCGGACAGTCAGGGTGCCTGAATGCAAAGTACCTAAAATCACCGAGGCAAAATGCTCTAGGGTACGATGGTACCTCGAACTTGTGTCTGAATCACCAACACAAACAGGCAATACATTCAACCTGCCTTTCCACGCCTTCAGGACCGCCAGGATACACTATAGTCTGGCTATTCGATATTACTGGACGAACCATACGCCATATCCGAAATCATGCGCTTCTCCCCGCTTCGCCCGCCAAAGACCCTTGTCCTACACCTTCTTCCGGACGTCGATTACATTACTGGAGCCCAGTGACTTTGCGCATACATGTGGCGATCACTGCCCTATGCCCTGTCGATATCACAAGATGTCAGGTTGTTGGGATATCATCTTCACTGTTCACTCATCTCGAATGGCCTTTGGATACTAATTGTCGACAACCTGTGATGCGTCTCAATATCCCTCTATACTCCTGTTTTTATCCACCATGTCAATACTGACGTACTGACACCAACTGTAGCAAGATGTTCATCGGCGGTCTGAATTGGGAGACTACTGAAGGTACGTTTATTGACTTGGGCTAGGAGTAGTTACTAGTCTTTCACCTTGGCAGCTGCCACTTGTCGGCCTTGTAACCATTGCGACAAGCAACAACACATAATCAGTACTAATTTCTAATACACAGATTCCCTCAAGGGGTACTTCTCACAATTCGGTGAGGTCAGCGAGTGCACAGTTATGCGCGACTCTGCTACTGGCCGGTCCCGAGGTTTTGGTTTCCTCACCTTCAAGGACCCCAAATGCGTCAACATTGTCATGGTTAAAGAACACTATCTGGACGGCAAGATCGTATGTCAACCACCAATTCAAATGAGAACTATTCGCTAACAATGATCAGATTGACCCAAAGCGGGCTATTCCACGTGAAGAACAAGAGCGAACCAGCAAAATCTTTGTCGGCGGTGTCAGCCAAGAAGCAACGGAGGAGGATTTCACAAACTTTTTCAAGCAATTTGGCCGTGTAGTCGATGCCACCCTCATGATGGACAAAGAAACGGGCCGCCCTCGTGGCTTCGGTTTCGTTACCTTCGACGGTGATGCGGCAGTAGATGCTACACTACGCGGTCCACTTCAGATTCTCGGCAAGCAAATCGAAGTCAAGCGCGCCCAGCCTCGCGGAAACATGCGCGATGACGATGGGGGTGACGGAAACAAGAAGTTCGGTCGCGGCAACAAGTTCAACAAGTTCAATGATGGCGGAAATGGCGGTCAGGGTGGAGGGAACGGCTATGAGAACGGCGGAGGAAACATGCAAGCACAAGGTAGCAACACTGCCATGTCTCCGGCTATGATGGCCCAGTACTGGCAGCGGATGCAGCAATACTTCCAATCTATGCAGCAAACACTCGCTCAACAACAGGCTGGTGGCGGCATGCCAGGTAACCCTATGGGTGGAATGGGCGGTATGAACCCGATGCAGATGCAGCAGATGCAACAGCAGATGATGAACCAAGGCATGAACCGCGGTACTGGCTCGCCAAACCCACAGATGATGGGTGGTCCTGGCGGTATGAATCCAATGCAAATGCAGCAGATGCAAATGCAACAGATGCAACAGATGCAAGGTGGAGGCGGCCCAGGCGGGCCCGGAGGCCCAGGCATGATGAATGCTCAAGGCGGGCAAAACGCTGGTCCTCGCCCAGCATACACGGCACAAGACCAGCTGGCGTTTGAACAGCAGAAATACGAGCAACAGCAAGCTCGTCGCCAGCAACAACTTTCTGGTCCCGCGGGCTACGGCGCGGCACAGGGCGGCGGCCCAGCAAGTTGGGACGGCATGTACGACGACGCACCTCCACCCAACGTTCCCTCTGGACCTAGCGGCGGCCGTGGCGGTGGTGGCTTCAGAAACAACCGGTCTCGTCAGGGATCCAGCCAACCTCCGTCTGGCGGCGGCCAGGCTCCCATCAATGCGCCCACTGGTCCTAAGAACGCTGGTGTCCGCGGTGCCAATTACCGTGGCGGAGGCCACCGTGGAGGCGGCGGCTTCAGACACCAACCGTATGGTGGCCGTGGCGGTTAAAGCGTCATTATTGGAGTTGATCACCCGCAACCGAGAAGCTTCACGTAGTGGAGAAGGGGAGAAGTATGGCTCTTAGAATCACAAGTCTGAATGGCAAAGGAGAAGAAGCAGGAAAGGAACGAAGCGAAACTACTTTCTCACCTCCTTGTCTAACTTCTCCTCGCCTAACCAAAACTTGAGGACTGCTGCTTGGACGAGAACATGGAGAGCGTAGAGTTAATACGGCTACTGTGTCTCCTCCACTAAGGTATGCCATTCAGTTTGGGGAGAAACACTTCTTTCTTCCTACATCCATCATCTCACCTTGAAACGGCTCAAAAGCGCAGAAAAAAAGTTTCAGTTCAAAGGGACTATCCACTCAATCAACCAATCAAACCTAATGGAGGAGTACGGTATGTTAGGGCAGAAAAAACCAAAAAGAGGAATCAGAAAAATCATAATGGCATGCTTCGGCAGTTTGGGGTCCTTTTTATTCTTCTATCTGCGAGACGGGGTTGAACTCTTGCGTTCGTTTTTGTATATTATAATTGCTGTTTTTTACTTTACTTAAAAAAAATAATGCGCGGGATTTTTGTTTGGAGTTACCTTTGATTGGGGAAATGAGCGTGAATACTAAAGATGGTGTTTGAAGATCTACCAGGCGAGAGCATGTAGGGAATCGAAATCGAAACCCAGACGGTTATCTCTTGAACGACTTATTCGGCACAATTTATCAAACGTCGAGAACGCTGATGATACAATATACATAATAAGTTCATTACGTTACGACATGACATCGTCTCCTATACTCTATAATCTCGTATGAAAACAGACCATGAATCCACATCAACCGCAGGCCAACCAACTCAATCGCCTGCAGATATGCCATAATAAACCAAAAAGCCAATACGCTCAAATACCAAAACCAGACGCTATGCAATAAAACCAAACAAAAAATAAATCAAGCTCCAAGAACGAACTGTCGAAGTGACGCCCATATGGCTCTATACGTCGCTTCCGTCTCCTTGCTGCCCTTAAACTTGTAGTTCCACTTCCAGCTTGCGTCAGGCCAAGGACCCGCCCACAATTTGATGGAGATTTTGAAACCAATATACCCATTCGTAACGCATTTCATTAGACATGCAAACATCGCGACGATACCAGCACCCAGGATAGAATAGGCTGGTCCGAAGTCCATGGTATACCATACATTTTCCCAACTCGCCTAGAAGCCGAGGCAGGTTGGAATATGGAGGAGTACAATTGCCCAGGGCAGGATGCTGGAGAGGACGAGGGTCCAAGAACTTGCTGCCAAGGGAGCGGCAGGGATCGCCTCCCCAGCGTTGCCCTGTGGTCCGTTGCCTGAGGGTGCTGGCGTGGCTTCGGGGTAAATTGTGCGAATTGTCGTGAAGCCACGGTCGTCGTAGCCAGTTACAGTCTTAGGCCCATTGCCGGAGGAATCCGTAGGCAAAGCTTGCGGCGATGAGATAGAGGAACCTGGAGGGGACATCTACAAGATTGAAGTCAGTATACTGTTTGTAAAGTCGAGGAACTGCTGAAGAAATGGCTTACTGACAGTGGCTGAGCTGGGTGGAATCACCTTTCCGGAACTGGAAACAGTCCACCCACTCGGAAGGCCAGGGTAGTTTGCAAATGTGGGTTGAGCAGTGGGAGTAGCGCTCGGGTCAGGAATCCAGGGGTAAACGCTGGGGCGCTCGGCACTGGTTTGGTGAGGTTGGAAAGGCAGAGGAGCGCCATTAGCTGTTGCGGTGACTGCTGGTGCGTCTGCAATTGGAGCATTACCTCCCGCGAAAATGGTACCGCCGTTGGACCTTATGGATTTCCAAGTACCAGATTGATCGCCGTAGATGTACTGGGAACCAGTGGAGTAGTCCTGGACCTTGAGCGACTTGACAGTCATAGTGAAAGGTCCCTTGGAGTAGTCGGTAGGACCACGAGCCCAAGAAATAGTACCGGCAGGGTTCGAAGGGTCACCACCGCTCCACGAGCCAAACTTGACCTGCATGGGTGTTTGGGGGTACTGGTTGTCGGCGTTGGCAGGTTCAAGAGTGCGCACAGTTTGTCCGTCAATCTGCCATGCAATCTGCTCTGGTGTCCAGATGATTGTATACGTCTTGAAGCCTGACTGGCTACCGGGGTCTGAATGGAAAGCACCACGGTTGTAGTCGGTTGTCTGACCTGGATGGCTGTTAGCAAGTCATTTTTGAAGTTGACGCGTGCATGGCTCAACAAACTCGATTGTATCTTACCTTTTCCAAAATAGTTGGACTGGGCCTCATCCGGGTCTGCACCAAGCCATTCCCAGTCAATCTCATCAAGGGTGTCGGACTGCAAGACAAAGCTGCTAACAATGCCCGCGCCCGGCGCAGCCTTGAGTTGAATGTCTACCCTGCCGAACATTATGTACCATAGCGAAGTGAGCTGTGGCGCATCGCCAGACTTTGAGACGGTAAAGGATACGCCATCGGAGCCATAGGTTGGGTTGCCCTGCGGAGTGAAACTGTCGGACTTTGAGCTGAAGTCAATGTTTACGGTTTTTCCCAATGCGGAGTCTGGAGGGCAGTCGGTTCGTAAGGTCGGATTGCAGTTGGACCAAGTTTGTGCTGCAGAGGGAACGTATAGGATAGTTGAGAGCAGAGCTGCGAGGGCTCTTGTTGTAGAACGCATCTTAGTGAAGGTAACAGGCGATAGCGATAGTGGTGTGAGATATATTCGAAGACGGATGCAGTCAAACGAATGATGGTCAAGAGCGTTACGGCAGCCTACGGCGCACTGGCGGGTATGCACGTGAGCACTGTGAAGGTGAAGTGCGACAAGGTACCTTCTCAGCGCTTGAGAGGCGGTCGGGAAGCAGTGTGCAGAGGTGGCCGGTACTGTGGCCGGCGATCCTGCAGCTTTTGTAGAGTCCCAGCCATCTCTGAGCGGTGGCCTACGTAGTGTGCTGCAAGTGAAACTGGGATAGTGCGGCCAGGCTTGCTTGTTGCGATACGGGAGTGGATGGAATTGGGCGAGGTTGGCAAGGCGACGCCGAGGTGGTTGGTAGGCGCACCCAGCCACACCAAACCCCTGCCGAGCACTCGACCGCCAGACGCTGCTGCCAACACGCAATCTTGGTGCGCGTCCAGAGCCCCGGCCTATGACGAAGCCGGTAACTTGTCGAAAGCTGTCAGCGACCGAGTTGGGCAGCGATCCAGGATGCAAGCAATAAGAGCGCAGTCAGCAGGGTGGTGGTTGGTGTGAGAAGAGAGGAGAACACCCTGGTTCGCATGCGGGCGGGTGTGGCGTCATGCATCTAGGCCCCGCAACACCACCACGTTCATCCCACCACGAGTCCTGTCGCTTTTTTTAGGCTTCCTCGCCATCTCCGCATTTGCACGACCCGCAGTCGGATCTCCAATAGCATCTGCAGCGGAAAAGTAGACCCTGCATAACCGGCTTTAGGCCCCTCGTCGCTCCATCAATATTGAATTGAGTCACACGCATCTGAAGACTTTGGCCATTTTACCACATCTCACCACCACCATCCGGCAAAAGCAACCCCCAAGGAGAAGAAATGTCTCTGACCAACGCCACACCGCTAGAGGTTGCACAGGCAGCTAGACTCGGGTCCCGGAAACTGGCCGTCTTATCTACCGACGAGCGGAATGCGGCGCTGACAGCCATCCATGATGCACTGGCGAGTGCCAAGGATGAAGTACTGGCTGCCAATGTTCAGGATCTCGAGGCTGCCAACAAGGCTGCAGCAGGAGGCACGCTCAGCGCGAGCTTGGTAAAGAGGCTGGATCTGGGCAAGCCGGGCAAATACGAGGATATGCTTCAGGGCATACTGGATGTACGAGACTTGGAAGACCCCATCAACAAGACAACTGCAAAGACGCTGCTCGACGACAATCTGGTCTTGTCGCGGATCACGTGTCCAATTGGCGTACTGCTCATCATCTTCGAAGCACGGCCCGAAGTCATTGCCAACATTTCCGCGCTTGCAATCAAGTCTGGGAATGCCGCCATCCTCAAAGGTGGTCGTGAATCCAGCAACAGCTTCGCAGCAATTGCATCCATCATCTCAAAGGCCTTGGCATCGACTGCAGTACCATCAGACTGTCTCCAACTAGTTCAGACCCACGATGTTATTGCCGATCTCCTTAAACAAGATACCTACATTGACCTATGTATCCCCCGCGGCGGCAACAAACTAGTCCGCTATGTCAAAGACACGACCACGATCCCGGTTCTCGGCCACGCTGACGGCATATGCTCCACCTATCTGTGCTCCGACTACCCTGCAGACAAGGCTACCAAAATCATCCTTGATGCAAAGACGAGTTATCCTGCAGGCTGCAATGCACTTGAACAACTTCTTGTAGAAGAAGAAGCCCTCACCACAAGTCTCCCAGTCGTTGCAGAAGCCCTTTTACAAAAAGGCGTCTCACTTCGTTGCGACAATGCATCACTAGTCGCACTCAAAGGAAAACTGGATCCTCACTCGGCAGCATTACTGCAAGAAGCAGGACCAGAAGACTACGATACCGAGTTTCTGGACTACATTCTTGCTATCAAGACCGTCGCAAATGTGGAAGAAGCCGTTTCTCACATCAATACACACGGATCTCACCACACCGACGCCATCCTGACTACGTCAGAAGCGACGGCCAAGTCGTTTCTCGCAGCCGTGGACTCCTCCAGCGTATACTGGAATACGTCTACGCGCATGGCTGATGGGCAGCGATATGGATTCGGAACTGAAGTCGGCATCAGCACGAACAAGATTCACTCGCGAGGACCTGTCGGATTGGAAGGCCTGACGATATACAAATGGGTGATTGTAGGCGATGCACAAGTGAGTGCTGAGTACGGGGCAGGAGGCAAGCAATGGAAACATCAACGCCTACCCGTCGGTGATGAGGAAAGCATTGCACAAAATGAAGAAGAGAGGGAGGTTTTGAGGAGGTTTAGGGCGAACAAGGCATGAGTTACATGTGGCCACTGCTCTTGTGATACGTTTACATGCCAGGGGATTGGCCTAGGCTACCTTGTTCAAGGTGTTGGGCGCAGTCACGTGACAGCCACGGCTTTGCCAAGAGTGTTATCGATAGAGAAGATCTAGTGCACAGACGAAAAAAGCCAACTTTACACGCGTTTTGCGCACGCTATAGAGCTGATAATTTAATATAGACAAGAAGAGAAGCAAGAGGCAGGTTATACGAGTTGTTTTATAGTAGTTTCGAGGTGTGCAGCGCCGTAGTTAAGAAAGTAGAGTTTGTCTGTTAGTAATAGAGTGATGAATCAAGTAACAATCACGTGATTGCGTAGTCGCTGCAACCCATTAAAATTGCCTACTACACTCCAAACTCTTGGCTCTTCATGTCTATCTATCAAGATAAAGCAGTGATAACGAAGATCGACGATGATCCCAGGCCTCATCAAAAAAGCCTCATACCCTGACACGCAAACATGCCTCCACGTGTACCCTTTATTTCCTCACCGCATCCCGCATTTCCCACACTTACTAGGTGCGTACCCATGCATCTCCGATCGCCCCCTCCCCTCCCTCACTCAATCTCATTCATTCCACTCTATATCAATCAAGCACGAAACCATCGTTAACTCCAGACCATTTCCAAGAAGATCAGAAATCCCCTAAGAAAGAAAGAAATCCCCATGTTCATCAAAATCGAGAATGATGCAAACAGCGCATAAACACGACGTATAAAAATAAACCCCTAGTACACCCGACACTTACGCGTGTCGCGCGAATCCCTTCATCTTCCAACCACCTTTGTCCCCACAAATACTCATATGCACTACAAGCCTACACACACATGCTTGCAACGCGCCCATATCAACAAAGTTTTTTCTCTCTCTCTCTCACGTATCCGAACAAAAAAAAACATACCACACTTACTACCTTTTTTTTTTCTCTCTTCTACTATTTCTCGTGACTCCAACTCGACTCCACCCCCCTTTTTTTTTTAAAAAAAAACAGAAGAGCGCCGTCAACAGAGCAATTTTTTCTTACCGTTTCCCTTTCTTTCCCCGAATCAAGCAAGAAAACAAACTAAACTAGCAAGGGCAAAGGTAAAAGGGTGCCCTAGTAAAGTAGATGGGCAAAGAGAGAAGGTGAGAAGAGAAAAACACACACACACACACACACAAACACACACACACATGTTGTAGTCGGACCGAATAAAACCTGTTCAACCGGGCACGGGAAATTCATGATCGGGGTTTGCGGGCATTGAGTAAGTTTTTTTCTTTTTCTTAATTCCCCCGAATCTACTCTACTAGTGGCTTTTGTGGCACGATTCATGATTTGAACCGGTGGGAGAGTTTCTTTTATTTTTTGCGTGATTGCGTCATCGTAATAACGCCGTCTTGAGTCGGTGGTTATTGCGATGTGCTTTTTGTTAGTGGGGGGGAAAGAGGTGGGGGTTAAATTAATAAGTGGAGGAACATTGTAGATCGTTGATATGGAGTTGCGCATGAATGGACGGGTGGATGCAAGGAACAGAGCTTGCCAGGGTACGGAAGCGAGTAAGTTCAGAAAGCGCTGACAAAGAAGACCATTCACAAGAGACAACAAAAGTCCAAAGGAGAAACGTGACTTTGCAAAAAGGTAATGTCTATCCTTTCATCACTGCCAACATCGACTAGATGCTGTGCAGATGCAACAACTATCTATCTACCTAGAGTCCAAACATGCACACATGCGCCGACTCCCTATTCCATGCCGTCCCTTTCGTAAATAAGCGTGGTATCCTGTAAACATCTCTCAAAATCCATAGCATGCCCAGCATTCATTGTGTATGCGTCTAGTCAACACCCTTGTTCCTCAGCGCAAGAGAAGGCTTGGTGAAGATTTGGGCACCATCCACGAGACGACGCTCCTCGTTCTTGCGACCGTTGACAAAGTCGGGGTAGTTGAGAGTAAGCTCAACAGCTCCGTTGACAACGTGGTCTACGGCCTCGACACCCAGCATGAATGAGTGGTCCTGGTTACCTACCTCATAGCGCCATGAACCGAAGCGGCCACGCGACAAGATGTCCTTGGCCTGAAGGGCAGGGAGGAGCTTGGTGAGGACGCCTTCACGCTCAAGCGAAGGAGTGGGGTATCCGTGGTCAAAGGCGCGGTGGTAGGTGGAGACAATCTCGTCATCGGACTTGATCATCTCGGTGTTGATGAGACCCTGAATGCAGTCCTTGAGCAGGTTCTCCCGGTCTACTGGCTTCATGCCAGACTCGGCAACCTCCAACATGATGGACCAGTATGGGCCTTCCTTGGGCTCGGTGGAGCTGGGCTTTGAGCCGTCAGCGAGCTGCTGGGTGGCGAGCTTGACATCCTTTTGTGGTTGGTTGTAGGGTGAGTAGTTGGAGAAGATGGTGGCACGGTAGAAGGGGCAGTCGTCCTCGGGGAAGTACAGCCAGCACTTGTCGCCGATGCGCTCTGGGCGCTCGCCACGAAGGCCAACACCAATGACGTGAGTGGTGGAGTAGTAGAGACCCTTGCTGAGATCAATGAGCTCCTTGTCGCCCATGGACTCGACCAGGGCATCGACAGCCATGGTGTTGATGAGCTTCTTGTAGTTGACGACAGTGCCGTCCTTGAGGTGTACCTTGTGGCCATCGGCGTCGACCTTGGTCACCTTGCTGTTCTCGCCGTATCGTGTCTTGGACTCTGGCAGCGTCTTGGCGACAGCGATCCAGATACCACCGGTACCGTCTCGTGCGGGGAAGCGGAAGGTGGCGTTGGGGCCCCAGTTTCCAGCAGTCTTGCCGTGAATGATGTTGTACATGACACCCTTGACATTGGGTGCAGCGACACGCTCGCCAAGCCACTCGCACTGCATCTTGGTGGTGGGCACAGCCCAGACCTTGAAGTTGTATGGCCTCATGAAGAGGTCGGCAATGCCGACACCCATCTGTCGGACGATCCACTCGTCAAAGTTCTTTGGCTTGGTGTTTGCCACGCGAGACTCGAGGGCGGCATCAATCAGACCGTCCATGCACTTTGCCTGGTCGTCCTTGCCCAACATGGACAGGTTGTTCTGGAACGGGTAGGGGACCCATTGGCCCTTGCAGCGGACGTAGGAGATGCGCTGGTGGGTGAACCAGTCGTCTTCCTTGGGCAGGGCCTCGTCGATGCAGTCGTCAAAGTACTTGTAGTGGGAGAAGATGACATGGCCACCAACGTCGTAGAGCTGGAGCGTGGTTAGGAACGAGCAGCCAGCCAATTGGCGGGCGGGGTACTTACAAAGCCCTCTGGAGTGGTGTCTGTAGAGGCCAAGCCACCAGGTGTCTCGTTGGCGTCGACAATCAGCCATGAGGGGCCATCCTGGGCTTGTTAGCACGAGAACAAAGCTGTGTTGCGCACTGGAGGGAAGACTTACGATCTGGTTGAGACGCTTTGCGGCACCCAGGCCGGTTGGGCCAGCGCCGATGACGAGCACATCAACAGAACTTTGCCATGGTCAGTTTGAGCGAGGCGTTGGCGAGGGCAGAAGGAGGGGAAGGGAAGGCAAGGGAAAAGAGCAAGGTGGGCTGGGCGGTGAACGTACATTTCTTCCTTTGCGGATCCCATGGTGCCCTGGAGGATTTCTTGGAAACTTGGAACTCGCTTTAGTGTCTGGCGAGCGAGATTGAGCATGTATATGTGTGAAGCTACGAGGAGCAGTGGCCTGTGAACACTTGGGGCGTGGGTGGGAGGAATATAGAGTAGCTGGAGAGGAACTAGGGACGCCAAGGAGGATACTGTTATAAGTGGGTCCAGGGTAGGTAGTGGGGGGCCAGCCGGCGAAGGACTGGGCTGGCAGCCACCTGGAGAGCTTCTGCATGTCCAAGAGAGGCTCGACGGCAGAAAAGGGGCAGGCCGCCATGGGGGCCCCGTCAGTGCAGCAACCGTGGCTGCTGGTGGGCACATGGATTGGTTCCAACTTGGTGCAACACCTGCCTCGCCTTTTGGATGCTGCTCGCATAGCGCGTGTGCACCACTAACCAGCAGGGTCGAGTATCGAGACCAGTATGGCAGGTATACAGTGGCGACAGCAGCGGCAGCGGGTGACAGCATGCTCTGCTGTGCTCCGCCCTCGCCCATGCACGCTCCCGTGGGAACCAGCCATCACCAGGCGGGCGTGATGCTGTGTACTTGGACATGTAGCATGTATGTGTACTATGTATGTACACTGACGGCATGTGCATGTGTGCATGTGTGTGTGTGTACCGTACCATATTTGTGCTCCTCCTCAGCCGACTAGGCAGTCGTAGGCGGGCAACTGCGTCTATCTCTTGGAGACTGCAGCTTCAGATCCACGGCCCACGGCCCACGGGCTGCGTGTCGTGCTAGTGCGACGGTGTAATCAAGCGTGTACGGACTGCTCAACGACAGCATGCATGCCCCCTATTGCATGGCTGGCCACGGCGAGTTGGGGGTCGCTAGGCCTGCCCTTTTGCCCTTTGGCGCGTCATGGGCCTTGTCTCCTGCGCCTGTAATGTAAGGCGGCTCTGCAGGGCGGCCACGGTACGCGTACGTACGCCTTCACCCACGCCCACACGCCCAGCGCAGTCGAGCGCGGCTTAAAATTTCGCCGCCAGAACCAAGGCTCGCAGAGCAGGCCGATTGCGCGTCCAATGCCCGGCTCCACAGCAGATCCGTTTCACGTCGCCATCGCCGCCATCAGAGCCGCGGCGGAATCGCCATGCTGCCCTGCTATCGGCGCGAGTACAACAGTCGACCGTTGCCCACTAGGGACGAGGCAGAGGCACCCCCTGTGCGCCCCCCAGTCGAATGTGTACAAGCTCCTCTGGCTGAATTTCCGCTCCGCCCCTCCCTTCGCTAGCGCCTAACGCATTACCATCACATTTACGCTTCCTCCCAACACTTCTGTCGCTCCTCATCTCCTTGTTGCCTCGAGTGCGCAGAGCCTTCTCCCAAGACCTGTACCCTGTGCCACGTTTGCGTTGCACCGTTTCACTGCACTCTTGACGCGCAAGACCCTCATCAGTCAGCGGCGCTAGCCCGCCCATCATTGTAACCTCAACCACAACTCTGCTCCCACCCCCGATCGCCGCATCTCTTCCTCGACCTCCGCCACCGCCAATTCCCTCTCCTTCCCTCCCTCTCTCTCTCTCCCTCTCCCTCCCTTCTACTTCTCCACAGTCCCTCGTTAGCTACCACCTCCCACAACCATGTCTCAAGACGAAAAGGTGAGGTCCTCAGTCGAGGCCTCCCGCGACACTGCTCTGCCAGTCCTGCCCACCGTCAACCCCGATGCGCAAAAGTCCGCACCTGAGCCGCCGACCTTCCATCCCGCCGTCTACATTGCGTACGCCTCACACACGACTGTCCCCTCTCTCGCTACGACGCACGCTAACCGATACGCAGCACATGGATCACGCTCAGCTCCAGCACAATCGTCTTCAACAAGTACATCCTCGACACGGCCAAGTTCCGTACGTCCACCTCCCGCCCCTGTCCCACAAGCGCATACTGACAGCGATCCTAAACAGACTTTCCAATCTTCCTTACAACATGGCATCTGGTCTTTGCGACTATCATGACGCAAATCCTCGCTCGCTTCACCACGATCCTCGACTCAAGAAAGAAGGTGCCCATGAACGGCCGTGTCTATCTGCGAGCTATTGTCCCTATTGGTATCTTCTTCAGCATGAGTTTGATCTGCGGTAACCAGGCCTACCTGTACCTGAGTGTGGCCTTTATCCAGATGCTCAAGGTATGTCAACATGACTCTACAGTCAACACGTGGATCCTAACTTTTGCTAGGCTACTATGCCCGTCGCTGTCTTGCTTACTACCTGGGGTCTCGGTGTCTCGCCTGTCAATCTGAAGACGCTTGGAAACGTGTCCTTCATTGTCATTGGTGTCGTTGTTGCCTCGATGGGTGAAATCAAGTTTGTTATGACTGGTTTCCTGTTCCAGGCCGCTGGTATCGCTTTCGAAGCTATCCGCTTGGTCATGGTCCAGCGTCTGCTCAGCGGTGCCGATTTCAAGATGGACCCCCTCGTCTCCCTCTACTACTACGCCCCCGCCTGCGCTGTTATCAACGGTGCCATCTTGCTCTTCACTGAGCTTCCTTCGATGACCATGGCTGACATCGACCGCGTCGGTCTCTTCACCCTGTTGGCTAACGCCTCCGTTGCATTCTTGCTCAATGTTTCGGTCGTCTTCCTGGTACGTTCATTGTTTCACCTGCACAAAACACATGCTAACAGATTTTCAGATTGGCAAGACCTCGTCGCTCGTCCTCACTCTGTCCGGTGTACTCAAGGACATCCTCCTCGTCTTCGCCTCCATGTTCCTCTTCAAGGACCCCGTCAGTCTCCTCCAGGCCTTTGGTTACAGCATTGCGCTCGGTGGCCTCGTTTACTACAAGCTTGGTGGTGAGAAGCTCAAGGAGTACCTTGGCCAGGGCAGCATGAAGTGGCAAGAGCTTGGTCACAGCAGGCCTGTTCTCCGCAAGCTCATGGTTTTCTCCGCCGTCATCATCTCCATGTTCTTCATCTTTGGCTCCCTTGGACCACGCTATGCTCCCGAGTCGACCAACCAGGTCTACAACGGTATCGGCAAACTCATTGGCGACAAGGCTGTATAAAGCGTTTTTTCAATAACCAGTGCACGCTATCAAAAGTCTTACGCACGCCTGTCGATGCACTTTACTACAACGTCGCGCCTTCTTCTTCTTCTTTTCTTGTCTTTTTATTGTCAACTTGGAGCAGGCTCGAGGTGTATGGTGCTTGGTATGATACATATAGACTAGTGGGTTTCTCTCAGCCTGAGTGAGCCTGCTTTGGGAAGCTCGTTGATTCAGGATGGAGCTTTGGGCACAATAGGGAAACGATGAAGTGATGCGTTTTTGTCGGATATAGATCTTGCAGGCATTCACAGCGACTGCGAGCGAAAGGTATATACCTTCTAGCCACATAATGATAATGCTTGTGAAGCAAACTATTCTTTTTGCGTGTGATGAGATGCAACTTGAAGTGTAGTGAATAACCCGACCCAGCCAATTAGCTTCGAGATGGAAAGTGAAGACAATGTATTTCTTGGATTTCTCAAGCTTCACTTCATATCTCCCTTTCCCATGCCACACCTTGCATTAAATCCACATGGCACGACTACTGGTAATGCAGAAAATATCTCCCAAGAGTGATGGTCAAGGGTCCCAAACGGCGTCCACCGTTTGTAGATCCAGCGGAGATGCTGACCAGCGCTAGCGAGGGCACTTTGGAGGCGCGTGCAGGTGGAGTTGAAATGTCCTCGCTTCGCACGGGCCACACCACGCCAAGTCTGGCCTATTTCGCAATTTCGTGTTCGCGAGAACTTCACTTCTTCAGTCGTTACTAACCCCCAGCACAACACGCTCAAAATCAGTCAAAATGGGAATCGACCTCGACCGCCACCATGTTCGAGACGGGCACCGCAGTATGTGAACCCCCCGTCGAGTCGGCGCAGAAATGCGCTGGCGATAGCAGTCTTTTAAGACGCAACATGAGCCCGAGAGAGGAGAAAGATTGACGAGTGTACAGAGGTCCCTAAGTCCACCAACCCCTACGTCAAGCTGTTGGTGCGTCTGTACAAGTTCCTGGCTCGTAAGTACTCTGCCTGGAATCGCGCGCACAATTTGTGCTAACTGCGGACAGGCCGCACCGATGCCCCCTTCAACAAGACCGTTCTGCGACGCCTCATGATGTCCAAGACCAACCGTCCCGTAAGACGCCAATGGCACGAAAGCCTTTCGACATGACAACTGACATGATTTAGCCGGTCTCCCTCTCCAAGATCGTCTCCAACGCCAAGGGACACGACGGCAAGACCATTGTCATCGTACGGCTTCCGAATACCCCACACACCAGACGACTAGCTAACTCAGGATCAGGTCGGTACCGTTACTGACGACAACCGCATGCTTGAGCTCCCCAAGCTCTCCGTTGCGGCTCTCCGCTTCACTGCCTCCGCTCGTGCGCGCATTGAGAAGGCTGGCGGTGAGACCCTCACCATCGACGAGGTTGCCACCCGCTCCCCCACTGGATCCAACACCCTCCTCCTCCGTGGACCCAAGAACGCCCGTGAGGCCTTCAAGCACTTCGGCTTCGGTCCCCACTCTGGCAAGAAGCCTTACGTCGAGAGCAAGGGCCGCAAGTTCGAGCGTGCCCGTGGTCGCAGAAGGTCTCGTGGTTTCAAGGTCTAAGCGTGTGCTGCAAGTGGTTCGGTTTCTCTGGTTTGGCGTGGTCAAGGTCATGGGAATTCACTTATGAGGCGTGCATCATGACTAGGAATGGCTCTTTGAAGGCCTGTAAAAAGATACTCAATGCTCAACATGAATTGAAAGCATGCGAACGGGCTCTTCGAGCTCATGGTAAACCCATGAATATCTGTATCTTGTCGTGAAACACATGTTCAGTGATGTATTGCAATCTTTTTTTTTCTTAGTACTGTACAACTTTTCACTGGATTGCTTGTCCGCATTCGGCAACCCAGAATACAATCACTGATGTCGGGATCTTTGTGTCAAATTTTCTTGCGGTTCCCCCGCATCCAACCAACCAGAGCGCTAGCAACTCTCACCCACGTAATGGCCCAACCTAGTCACTGCAGCACAGCGTTGACTTGAACATCAACATCTGCGAAAAATGGTCGACACTCGCAAAGTCGGTGTATTGGGCGGAGGCCAGCTCGGTCGCATGCTCATTGAAGCCGCCAATCGCTTAAACATTCAAGTCAACGTACTCGACGCAGCAGCAACACCCGCAAAGCAAATCTCGGCGCACAGCGGACACATCGAGGGGTCTTTCAAGGATGCGGCTGCTGTAAAGCAACTTGCGCAATCCTCTGATGTTGTTACCGTGGAAATTGAGCACGTGGACACCCATATGCTGGAAGAGGTTGCTGGACAGGTTGTTGTTGAACCCAGTTGGAAGACACTGCGAACGATCAAAGATAAATATGCGCAAAAGCAGTATCTGAAAGAGCGCGGAGTCGATGTCGCTGAGAGTGTTGATCTGGAGGGTAAAGGTGTCGAAGGACTCAAAGAAGTAGGGTCATCGTATGGATATCCCTTCATGCTGAAGAGCAAGACAGAAGCCTACGATGGCAAAGGAAACTTTGTGGTCAAGAGCGAGGCAGATGTTGATGCAGCGTTTGAAGCGTTGGGCAAGCGGCCACTCTATGCGGAGCGATGGGCTGACTTTAGAATGGAGCTGGCAGTCATGATTGTCAAGACCAAGGATGGAGTGCTCACATTTCCTACCGTGGAAACTATACATGAGGACAGCATCTGCAAGCTCACATATGCACCTCCACGAAACGTATCAGAAAAGATCACACAGCAAGCCCAAGAGCTGGCTAAGAAGGCCATCGGCGCTTTCGAAGGCAAGGGTGTCTTTGGTGTCGAGATGTTCCTCCTCAAGGACGATAGCCTACTCATCAACGAGATTGCACCTCGTCCACACAATTCCGGTCACTACACGATCGAGGCTTGCCCAATCTCACAATACGACGCTCACCTTCGCGCCATCCTCGACCTCCCAATCTCACAGTCCAACCTCCGCCTTCGGGAGCCTGCCATTATGCTCAACATCCTTGGCGGCAAGACGCCAGACTCGCACGTCCAAGTAGCCAAGAAAGCCCTCGACTCGCCCAACGCCTCAATCCACCTCTACGGCAAGGGAGACGCACGTCCAGGCCGCAAAATGGGCCACATCACCGTAACAGCGCCCACGCTCGCCGCCGCCGAGCGCGAAATCCAACCCCTCATCGACTTTGTCGACGCCCAAAAAGGCAAGACTGTCGACTCCAAAACCACCAACAGCAACAGCAACAAAGAAGACCCGCTCGTCGCTGTAATCATGGGCTCAGACTCTGACCTCCCCGTCCTCCGCGCGGGACTCGAAATCCTCACCAAACTCCAAATCCCCTTCACCACCCGCATCACCTCTGCACACCGTACCCCGGATTGGCTCCGCGAATTCTCAAAATCCGCCTCCCAGTCCTCGCTCAAAGTCATCATCGGCGCGGCCGGCGGTGCCGCCCACTTGCCCGGTATGTGCGCTTCGTGGACCACGCTGCCTGTCATTGGCTTGCCCGTCAAGGCTACGCACATGGATGGTTGGGATAGTCTGGTTAGCATGACGCAGATGCCACGCGGAGAGCCTGTTGCTACCGTGGGCATCAACAATTCCACTAACGCGGCATTGTTGGCTGTCAGGATTCTCGGGGCTGAGGATAAGGCCGTCAGGGAGCGGCTGCGCGTGTGGATGGAGGGCAATGAGAAGGAGGTGCTGCGCAAGGATGGCGTCTTGGCTGAAGGTGGGTGGGAGGCCTATTTGAAGAGCATGGGTAAATGATTCGGCCAAGGTCTTGGAGGTACCGTGGAATGAGGAGAAAAAAAACAAAGTTAACGAGATTTAGAATATCATTTTTTTGGCTTCTTATCTAACAATTTCTATATCTCTTTCTCTCTCTCTTTTGTTTAAATCTTCATCCTTCCACTTCACTCTTCTCCACACACACACACACACACACACACTTCCAAACTCAACATAATCTCAACGCTAGGAAAGAAACAGTAATTTATACTACTACGTTTACTTTAGTAGGAATCGTAGTCAGAGTAGCTCTCAGATGGCTTGTCGCTGCTGCCGTAAGCCTGGGAGCCAGACGAGTACTCGTTGGAGGGAGTGCTCTCGTAGGCGGCAGGGGTAGGGGTGGCAGCGGGCTGGTAGGCAGCTGGGGTGGAGACAGCTGGGGCAGGCTGGTAAGCGGCTGGGGAAGAGGCAGCTGGGTACGAGCCGTAGGCAGCTGGGCTAGAGGCAGCGGGAGCGGGCTGGTAGGCAGCCGGGCTGGAAGCAGCCGGGTACGAGCCGTAGGCAGCGGGGGAAGAAGCAGCTGGGTAAGAACCGTAGGCGGCGGGAGAAGAGACAGCTGGCGCGGGCTGGTAAGCAGCTGGGGAAGAGGCAGCTGGGTAGGAGTCGTAGGCAGCCGGGCTGGAGGCAGCGGGGTACGAGCCGTAGGCAGCTGGGCTGGAAGAAGCAGGATATCCAGCAGGCTGGGTCTTGGAGGCAGCTGGGACAGTGGAGCTCTCGCAAGGAGTAGAGCTGGCGCTGGATCCGTAGTACTCAGCGGGAGCAGAGGAGGTGCTTCCAACAGGGTAGTGGGCAGCGGGGGTGGAGTAGGCCTGGACGGGGACGGTGCTCATGGTAGAGGCGGAGTACGCGCCATAGTTGTTTCCACCGTAGTTGTTACCGCCGTAGTGGGCTGGCTTGGAGTGGACTGCAGCTGGGCTGGAAGCAGCTGGGTAGGAGCCGTAAGCGACCGGGGAGGAGACGGCTGGGTAAGAATGCTCGTAGGCAGCTGGGGAAGAAGCAGCTGGGTAAGAACCGTAGGCAGCTGGGGAGGAAGCAGCAGGGTAGGAGCCGTAAGCAGCAGGAGTTGAAGCAGCTGGGTAAGAGCCGTAGGCAACGGAGGAGCTGTTCTGGGCTGGGTAGGAGCCGTAGCTGTTTCCGCCGTAGGTCTTGCCGTGTCCAGGGACCATTGGCGAGGGAGTAGCCTTGGTCTTCTCATACTCGCAGGTGTAAGCCTGGCCAGCAGAGGTGATGGTGACAGTCTGGGCTGGCTGGTGGTAGACACCGGCATCGTAGTGCTGGGCAGTAGGGTAGGTGACCTCGGTGTCGTGGTCGTAGACAGTAGTCGTGGGCTTGGTGACCTCGTAGGTACCGGTGGTCGAGGCGTAGATGGTGGTGTACTCAATGACAGTCTCAGTCATGGTCTTGTCACCCTCAACCTTGGTCTTGTAGCCAGCATAGGGGGCGGTGATGTAGCCAGTCTCAGTGGCAGTGACGGACTGTCCGCCGTAGGTGCAGGTCTCACCAGCCTTGGCGGTGGTAGTAGCCTCAGCAGGGTGGTCGATAGGGTGATCGACAACCATGTCCTTGCTGGGAACTACGTAGACGCCAGGCTTCTCGTAAACCTTGACCTCTGGCTTGGGCTGGCCATAGGAGTAGACGTGCTCGTACTCGGACCACTTTCCACCCTTGTACTCCTTGACGTGAACGGGCTGCTCCTTGTCACCCTTGGTGTAGAGACCAGAGCCACCGTATCCGGGAAGAGCCTTGGGGCCAAGGTTCTTGTATGGAACCTCCTCAATCTTCTCATAAAGCTCATACCAGCAGCCAGCAGTGCCGTTCTTGGAGGCAGTGCCAGTAGGAGCAGCATAGCCACCAGTTCCAGTAGCAGAGTGGGTGATGGTCGTCTTGGTGTGGTAGACAACGACTGGCTGCTCAGTGTTGGTGACGGTAGCGTAGTTGTTGTCATAGTCCTTGATGACAGTGGAGACGTAGGTGTCCTCTCCCCACTTGGCACAGCCCTTGTCGCCATAAGCAGGAGACACACAGGTGGGGTACGCCTGGTTCTGGGTGGTCACGGTGACTGGCTGCTTGCCATAGCCGGGAACAACGGTGGTGTATCCGATGGGGGTTGCTGTTGTGCTTGGCTGGACGCTGGAGTGAGCATCCTCACCATAACCGCCGTAGACCTGGTGGGCTGCGGCGGTGGCAGCGAAGATGATAGCGTACTTCATTGTGGCGAATTAGTAGAATTGAGTATTACGTATAAATAAGATCGTGGATAACGAATGACTGGGGTAAGTGGATAATGAAAAAAAGGAATGTCGTCGTCACTCGAAGAGTGCGAAAGATGATGATTGATTGAGAGGATCGTGAAGATGGAGAATACATGAAGAGAAACAGTGATACATATATACTCACTTGAAGCAGCAGAGCTCGGTCTCGGAGAGGCTTGCCCCTGAGGTTGCAAAAGCTTCCATCGTGCCCTTGATTCGATCTGCACCCGTAGCGCTACTGCATTGAAGGAGACCCGCTAAGCACCCTTGAGTCTGATGCCGTTGCGAATACGATGTGCAAGTTTTAGGCACAAGGCTGAAACTCGAATTGATGCCCTACATCTGTGCGATCTTGTGAGACTCGACGTCTACTTAGAGACTTGCTTTTGGATCATTGGAGGTGATTTTTTTTCCATTGATTGATTGATTATTTGTTCAGCAGCTTCGTGAGTTTTCGATTCCACAAGCAACGACTTGAACATCCGGGTATTCAGTTGTGCATGGAATGAGTCGCAAAAGCGAGTCATGGAGTTCAAGACATCCCTTTCTGCGTGGATGCATTTCCACATTGCCAGGTCGTTGGAGTCGAGTGCTAGCTGCCGAGTGCTAGTTGGGTGAAGCGTCGTTGTTCATCGCACCAGTATTGCCTACCTATAGGCCTGGACTCTATGGTCTCAGCGCTTTGAGCCGTCAATAGCGCGAACCTCAAGATCGGCATCGCGTATAGTCGTGCATTCCTCGCACGCTGCGAGTCTGAGCTGATGCGTAGACTTGAGATCAGCTCACAGCAGATATTAGCGAAGCCACCAGCGTTTACCCTCGAACATTGTCCAAAGACTTCAAATATGGTTCGTACTTGTCAAACCTGTCCAATGCGAGATACGTGGTAGCGCCTAGCATGGCAAAAGCTGTCCAACCCCGCAGCGATGGAAGCCTTGACCAAGATGTGTGTGTTCGCTTGTGGTGTTCGCCAAAGAACAGACCGCCATAGGGGATGCGCCACATTCATTCTCGCCCTAGCGTCCCCCATTTGGGGCCTCTAGCGCACGCTTGCCCGTATACAGATGTGCCAAAGCGGCGCAGCAAGGCTGTCGTGGGCTCCTGCTTCTACTATTGGGTTATTGGTTTCTTAATGACCCTTTTTTAAGCCCCATAAATGTTTATCTGGAATGCCTAAGGTCAGCTTAAAGGAACGACGATGTTAGGGGTAGGATTATGAATGAGGACGAAGTCGTGCACATTGCAGTGAACAAAAGGCGAAAGGGGCTCAGCCTCAAATCCCAGTGACTGCTATTTTAGCGAACGAGTCTAGCATAGCATAATCACCTAAGTCATTCTTCCCGCCGAGTGTCCACTAGAAACGGGACAGTGACAAACTGACATGAACGTTGGAAACATCGTGCTGACCTGTACCGAAACCAACACTCGCAGCTGTACAAAATACGAACCGCCACAGGACTGTGGAGATTGGACAGGAGTGGACCGGTTCACTCCACAACCGTATTGGTTGTTCTTCGCACTAGTTGTTAGTATTTCAGCTACAATGACAGTGGGTAACTCCGCTTAAGTCTGTTTCCGATGCTTCGGCATGTACATAGGTCCGAGGCTAACTAACAACAAGACTTTCGTTAGGCAATACCGTTGCGCAGCTTGGATCCATGGCGCATTCGCTTCTCGAGCAATTCAGCCTGCAACTCTCCTTGCATTGAGAAATGCTACAGCATAAACCCCTGAGCAACTTGCATGCAGCTGAGTATGTACCTGTGGCAGGTCCTCTGGTATTTGCTTCCAAATCCTCAAGAGTGGGAGCTAACAGCATAGCCTCATGTATACGGTTGCTTAGTGTCACTCCAGCTGATGTCTCGCTCGAGGATGTTGCCGGCAATTGACTTGTGGCTACTAGGCAACAGCCGTAGATTGACCATACAGCAAGCGACGTGAGTATGCGAAACCCCTTATCATCTGCATACATGACTTTGAACCTCCTCCAATATCACATTGGTACCCAGTCATAAACAGCGCTGAAAAAGGGGTGCAGCTCTAACAATAAGTTTATCTGGCTATGCTGGGCATACGTTGCTGTCTAAAGCTGATATTAAATTCACGCAGCAATCCCATCACTTCTATATACAGAGTTAATTCAAGTGTGTGGGACTAATATTAGAGTCAAACAATCGGGAACAGGTACACTTTTCTCGAAACATGAGCGGGGCTGAAAATGGGTACAGCTGAAGCTGCATGCTGCTCTGACTGCTCTAGCATTAGTAGCAAAAAGGATCAATCCTTGCTATGTGACAGAAACAATAATTGGACAAGAGTATTCTCAACAGATTTTGTAAAATGTAATTATAGTAGTGAGGGTCATTAAAGCCAGTTATATTGCATATTTTGTGCTACCTACGTAGTAGTCGCCTGAGTTCCATCTAGTGCCATAGTAGTGACAAAATGACGAAGTCAAGATCATATGCCTTGGCGTGAAAGCAGACCAGATTTCGTCTCTCTAACAATTATCTCGGCTGCCTTCTCGGCGAAAGCGTAGACAGCAGTCAGAATATTCCCCCGTGGGATGATTGGCAAGACACTCGCATCGCAAATCCTCACATTCTTCGTTCCGTATACAGCCAGCTGCTCGTCAACTACGCCACCTATATCTTCCCTCATCATAGAGCAAGTACCACATGGATGGTAGTTCGTCGCGGAGTTGATTGGGAGGATTTCTTTCGCGTCTTCGAGTGATGTAACCGGATGGGGGAAGCTTCGAGGCAATCGTCTTCCGTCCGGCTTTGTCATGGCAGCAAAGGTAGGCTTCTGGAAGAGCCTTTCGATGAGACGCAAGTGGCGAGCTAGTATTTCCGTATCAAGGGGGTGAGCAAGGTAGCTGAATTTTATCTCGGGCTGATCTGAAGAACCAGGCGAGATATGACAGCTTCCACGAGAAAAGGGGTGGGCCAACATTGCGACAACAGTTATGTAATTGCCATCCACAACAGACGGTGTACCTTTGGGAAGTGAATCGGCATCTTTATGGCGTTGTGTACGTAGCATGAATGAGGTGGCGGTTGCTTCTTTGGGACTTTCGATCGTCTTCTGAATGATAGAGTACTGGGTCTTCAGGCTCGGGTTACTCTCGTTTTTCACCCAGTGCTCGACTATATCGATAAGCTCCTGTGTCTCTGATGGAGTTTCCAGCATCTGTAGTGGTGTAAAGGCAAAACTATATGCGGCCCCTTCAGACACCCGGCCAGTATGGCTTTTTTCGTACTCCAACAACGCGGCCTTTTGCAATTCGGGGTTTCGCATTATTTCGTCACGAGTAGGGATATCGTCTTGAGTTTCGCATGACAAGCCGCAGTTCAGGTGATCCTGCAAGTTCTCGCCAACTCCAGGAAGCTCGTACAGAACCGGGATACTGGCGTCTGCAAGAATCTTTTTGGATCCGATGCCTGATCGTTCTAGGATCAGAGGGGACTCAAATGTGCCTGCGCCGAGGATGATTTCTCGTCCACTGACAAAATGCTCTTCCCCCTTGTATGTGTAGAGGACGCCTCTGGCACTGAGTTTTCCATCAGCGGCCAGTGCCTCATCAAATGTAATCTTATCGACCTTTGCACCAGTCTTCAATGTAACATTGCCACGTTTCAAGGCGGGTTCTAGATATGCTGTACCTGCGTGGCTCCGTTCGCCTTTTGAGGAATCGATCGCATTTGTGACGTTGATTGCTCCAGCAGAGCTCTCAGTAAACCCTGTAGCCCTCGTCGGACAGCCAAGCTCCTCAAAAGCTTCCACCCACCGGTTTTGAAGCAGGTCCCACGTACGCGGGTATGACGTTTGCACACGATCCAGGGATACTCCATCATCATCCACTTTTGGACCGGACTGTTCTGCCTGCCACCGTCTGTAGCAATCGCTCATGCCCCTTGAGCCCCACTCCTCTCTCCCCGCATCTGATAGAAGTTCCTCCGCCACACGATCATGCCACTCATGATTGGGAAACACGACACTGTGGCTATTAATGGCACTGCTACCGCCAACCAGTTTTCCCCTGGGATGGTCAACCTTCCTGTTATTCAACCCCGGCTCCGGCGCAGAAGAATATCGCCAATCGTAAGCGGGATCCGAGAGTAGCCTCGTGGCTAGACCGGGTGTCTGCACTTTAGGGTCATTGCGAATATGTTCTCCAGCTTCGAGAACAAGAATCCGGTGATCAGGCAGCTGTTGCGAGAGACGTGACGCGATTAAGCAAGAAGCTGATCCGGCTCCGACGAGGACAAAGTCATAGACCTCAGTGTCAGTGTGAATGGTTTTGCCTGGCATGGTTAATGGAGAGATGGCGAGCGTTGCGAGACGGGAAACTCGAGGTTGCACAACTATTTAAGGCGACCAGGCAAGCAAGGCTAAGCAGCACGCCACAGGCTTAGCGACAGACAAGCATCCTGGTATACTAGCAGATAAAGGAAGGTGTAGGCAACCATCAGTGAGTCTTGTATGCACCTCGTGCTTAGAGTATTGGTTGAACAGGAAGATGAGTGATAGTACTACTGTTGCTCTAGCAGTGTTCATATCCTGCTCGCTACTACGATAAAGATCAGTGTGCTTTTTCAAATATCTCTGCATCTGCGGAAAAATCGATGACATCATACTTATTCCATCTGGCCTTCTGACTTTAGCTATTCGTACCTCTTCTCCTTTCCCACCTCTTCTCTTTCCATCTGTTTCTATTTAAATTGTATCTTAGAAAGTAAACATAGAGAGTTAGGGAATTAGGAGATAGGGATGAGTGAGAGAGAGAAAGCGACGGAAAGAGTGCCACTTTGACACTTCTTATCGGGGTTTAATCACAGGAAGATGCACGCTCAAGCGTAAAGACTTGTCGTCTACAATAGTAGCATCTGCAAACTGCATAACAAATTTTCTTTCACTAAGAAAAGTAAATCTTCATCTGTGCCCTATGATACTGCGATTTTCTCCCGTCCACTTACATCACTGCCTACGTGATAGCTATTATTATTATTATTATTATTATTGTAGATTAACGTCCTTTCTCAGCCGGTAGGCTATATAAGACGTGCAGGTTGAGCCTGCAAGTATCTAAG